AGGAAAATATTGTTTACATGTTCTAAAAATAAAATAAGAAGAAGAAAGAGTCTTTGTGTCGTTTTGAAGAGTTGCGTATATGCAGGTGTTGATTCTGCAGCATCAGCGTTGACATTGGATCTTGTTTACTTCGAGTCACCTTGGTTATGAATGGAGAAGGTCAATAAACAACATATAACAACTCCCTTCATATTCAAAAAGTTGGTGCGATGCGGCAACTTTTTATAGCTGGGAAAGAAATGGAAAACTACGGGATGTGTTCACATTTCGTTGAGGTCGATTTCTTCTTCCTCTGGAATTCCGTCTCTGAGGTTGGGTCTTCGCTTTGGGAAGATACTGGCTAGAGTTTTCAGAGACATGAAAGGTTTGGGTGGTGGCGACGGAGGGTAGCTCGAGTCTTCGATAGCTAGGTTTCTTCTGCGCCTTTTTCTGCACTTACAGAGAATGTACGAAAGTATTAGTACAATAATGAGCGTGATAGTCAGATAGGTAAACCATGAGATTTGTTTGGTTACGTAGGGTTGATTTATCAAATCGTCAAGGGTTTTGGAATGGGAATCCAATTTATGCTTGGCGACATCCAAATCGTCGTCGTTTAGGTCACTTAGTTTCAGTGGTTTCAACTTCGGGAGGCTTGATTTGTCCGGGATCTCGTTACAGCAATCATAACCGTAACCATAACAATCATAACAAGTAACCAATCATAACAAGTAACCGTGAACTGTCTTTCCGAGACAGTTCACGGTTACTTGTAGCGGTTCGGAAAGTATTACAAGCCATAAGTTTGTTTCAATTTTGTGCACTTTATAACTTTGGCTGAAGAAAAGAGAACTTTGACAGTTCATTGGAATGTTTCTAAAACTTCTGAAGATTTGGGCTTCACAGATTGAATTTTGGTCAATTGGATACGCGAACATATCGTAGCACAATTCAGTTCGATGTATCAATGGTTTACAAGCACTCATGTCTGTGATTGGTACGAACATCAAAGAATCATCGTCTTTCGCGATATATTGTTGAGTGATTGATAGAATATGATGCAATCCTGTTCTGTTGTCAAATATCGGAATAGGATATAAATGGTATAAGGAATACATTTCAGGTTTTATTAATGGGATTTTGAGTACAAAGACCAAGTTGGATTTGGTTTGAAATGCTTCGAGCTCTATTATTTCAAGATATTGAGCAACTTTCTTTAATTTTGGAGAAAGGGGAAAGTTATTCCTCCTTAAGTTTTGGGATATTTCTAACAATGCATTCACCAAGTGTTCTGGTGTAATGATTGAGGAATGAATAATGTTCAATCGTGCAAATGTGATAGAATCCAAAACGTCATCCACATTTTCTTGTAAATATAAAAAGCTTTCCATGAGTTTTTCACAGATTTCT